AGCACGAGGTTGTATATTCAAGCAATGCTTAAATTTTTTGAAAAATGAATTCCATTAATCCATTCACAATGTCATGCTCTTCCAGAGGTTTCTGTAAGATCATTGGGCAATTTTTCTATCTAGAAGATATTATCACAGATGCTTGGTTTTACAGTTCCCAAAACTAAATTTGTGTCTTCAGAGAGCACATGCCTCTTCTTCCCAGCAAAAACATACAGAAAACGAAAGACCTTGATCCCATTGTTCTTTTGCAAATCTATTTACACAGAATCACCTTCTTACCTCTTAGGTGCTAAGTTTCAAATAATTTAATGAATAAAAGAAGATGGTTGACAGTGGAATACAGTACATCAACACAAGAAGCTAAGTGTGAGAAGGGAGGTGCAAGCAATAAAAATGAAAGCAAAACCTTTTGAACAGAATATTCCACAAATCTTTGGATCTTTTTATGTATAGCCTGAGGTTTATCATATTATTCTTTCCTTGGAGGAGAAAGTGTATAATGGCAGCAGGCTGTAAAAAAGACTCAGTTTGGGGATATTTTAATGAAGTTCCTATACCTAAGGGGAAGGCATGCATGCATGCAAATTACATAGAAAGCCATGATTTAAATCTAGTATTACTGACTAGTGATTTAAATCAAATCCACCCTGCTTCTGCAGACAATCTGCCCCTGATGAGTTCAGTTTTTTTCTGCTGGTAACTTGGTCAGCAAAAACAGCAACAAGAATATTATTATTCAAGGAAGGCCATTCCCAACTCTTCCAATCACCTAAACACAGAGGTTCGTGGAGGATCTTTCTTCACAACCTTCTAAATGCAGAGCAAGTGCAACACTTCTCTCCTACTGACCGAAGTGTGACACAGATCATGTTTACAACACAACACGGAAGATATTCTTCAACCCTGCCAACAATACCATTTCTGCTTTATCAGTTTCAACACAGTGAGAAGATATTTTGTAGACCAAGAGCTTCTGTGTAGCTATAAAAATGATTTGCATCTCCAAATTCCCAGCAGGGACAACACCAAATAATATCTGTAACCTGAGGAATGTGGGATAATGCCACTTTTATGCTTTCAGAAGGCAGCAACCAGAAACCAAAACAGCAGTTTACTGGGTCATACCAGTGGTTTATACCAACAATCCAATATTTCACAGCATTTAGATGTAAGTCTAGCTAAGGCTGGACATTTAATCAGGCACCACGAGAGTCACCCTTCAACTGTTCAGTAGCTCAAGCTGGAAAAGGCCACAAGGAGCATGTTGTACCATTCCCTCAGCTCCTGCAGCTGATTTTCCACTGCCTTCAGTCGTATAGTTAAGAGCAGGCAAAGAGGTGGTGCTTGGGATTTGTGCCACAAAATTTGTTCACAAAATGGCAAAAGCTGAGTCACACCGAAGATGTGACTTTGTCTCCAACAAAGCAGAGCATAATAAAGTTAACAGTCATATCGTGCTTGTCCCTGGTATCTGCTGAAAGCCAATACTGTGTCATGACTAGAGTGTTGGGCTAGGACTGGTTCTCGTCCCTACTTGGCCATGAAGCTCACTGGGTGACTTTGAGCCAGTCTGTCTGACAGGATTGTTGGGAGGGTAACATGAAAAGGAAGAGCATGTACACCACCTGGGGCTCTCTTAAGAAAAAGCAAGATAGAATACATTAAGTGGAATGACTATTCAAATAATTATAGGTAAACTACCTATGAACACAGAAGATCAATTTTCAAGATTGCTTAGTGAGTCGCCATTGTAAGACTTCATACATTTATTTGCCCAGCCCTTTTTTAAAAACAGCCAGCTAAACAACGAATCCAACGTCCAATACATAATTAACTTTGTTGGGCTTCACTACTTAGATGGCTTTTTACCAATGCATATTTATTTATGTATTGCATTTCTATACCACCCTACAGCAGAGTACAATTTAAAACATAAACATAACATTGCTGAAGGACCTAATGTTTATGACCTTGAAAGAAAATTTCTATCTGACTGTTGTGAGGTAGTCCCTTCCTTCTTTCCTTCTCTTTATCAAACTCAAAACGAAACCTGTGGACTACAGTCAAAACTTAACTGGTTACAGAGCAGTATAAACTCAAAGTAGCCTTTTACTAAAGTTGCAGCAGAAGCATCTGTCCATGTAAAGAGTTGAATCCAAACTGAAATTTCCTTGCCTTCTCCTTCTTTCAGTAAAGCGGCTGACTCAACCCTCAGGGTGCTCTTCCTTGCTTAAGGGCAAGACGGCAAGAACACTGAAGACTGCATAAGCGGTCTGCTTGTCGCACCTGCCATTTCCTGACCAGGTCAAGAAGCCATTTGCACCACCTCCCACCCTGAAAAGCCTTCCTCCCATTACAAGGAAGGCAGATTCCCATGCTGTCTGAGAAACTTCACTAGGTAACCTTGAAACTGTTGACTCCTCCATTCCACCTCGCTCTACCATGTCTTCCTCAGAATCAGACAAATTTATGTGAGCAGACTGTCAAGTGTGAGAGACAGGCTCTCACCATATAATTCATAATTTTATAAGTCTTCCTTGTGCCCCCATATAGTTTTTTCCCCTTAAACCAAAGGGAAAAACCCTTAATCGCTTCTTTGTAGCTAATGACCCAACTGCCTGGTTGCCTCCTCTGTATTTGTCCAAGTTGTACAGTTCCTTTTTTGAGATGATTTAAACAATGCAGCATAAAGTAGCCTACCTAACTTTTGGTCATTGTGACTAAGTTAGTAGGATTGCCCACAAAATATCTGCTTAACAAGCATGAAGAACATCCACATTTTTTATCAGTAAGAATTTAACATTTTTATCAATAAGAATTTAACATTTGCCCATGAATAAGCTAGCAGGGCTTCTGGGACTCTGGAATGGATAAGCCACAGATATGCTAGCTCCATTCCCCCACTGTCACATTAGATTGCAGGGGCGTGGGAATGGGGGGGAGGGAAAAAAGGAGGAAGAGAAAGAAGTGTCAAGAGCACTTTCATTTCCTATTTGTATTCAAAACAAACAAACAGGCTGTTCTAATTTGACAGTTCAGACACTATTGTTCAGACACCTTAGAAAGCACTAAAGAGGCTCTACTGAGATATTTCAATATGTAAATTTGAACACATCAACCCTTTAAAGCAGGAGAACTAATTTTAAAAGCTTTGTTTGACAGACTCTGTTTTTATCATTTGCTATTTTTTATTTATTTATTTATTTTTCGATTTATATCCTGCCTTTTCCTGTCCTTGCCTTATTTTCCTATTTTTTCCTCTCTCTTGCATTGGGCTATGGATAAGTATCCTTTTGAACTGTCTCTCCACAGTGTACCCCACTGTTTATCACTGCAATAAAATCTACAGAAAAGATTTAGATCTATATAATTGCATCTCTGGAAACAGGAAGTCATGTGCTAATGTATAATATATCTTTTGTTAAACAGCCCAGAGTTCAGGACATGACTGCAGGCCAGGATTCCTACATGTTTTGGTAACCAGGTATCAGAAAGGAGAGTGCTTCCTAGATATTCTGGGAGTTCAGGTGCACACATGATAAATGTTTCAAATGTAAGACTGGCAAGAGAGGGTCTCCAATAAAACCACCTTTGTATTGGACTGCAGACTTGCAATGATAGACTTTATGTAGGAGATTGTTAAAATGTAAAATAAACCAAATAAGCATTTAATGGTTAAGTTTTATTCTGTGGATTTAGCAAAGCATTCATAAAGAATCCAAGTAAAATGTGTATTCTATGAATGCTTCCAATTAATGAGCATTTTCTTACAAAATGTACCTTGTTGAAGCCTTGTTGTTGAGTAGGGATGCATGGATCAGTCTATCCCAGATAAGTGTTATTTTTGCATTCATAATTAAAGTCCACCCTGTCTTTGCAATCTGCAACCCCTTTTTAAAAAAATAATGAAATACACATTTCTATCTTACCCCAAGCTATACATCTTGGTATGCATTTCCAGTTGGTATTGATATTGCAACCTTCAGAGAAGTGCAAGAACCAAGAATCACTTGCATTCCAATCCACCTATTAGTCCAGGAAGTGTGAATGACAGCAAGTCAACACAGAAATGCAGCAGATTCCTAGATTTCAGTTTCAAAATCTCACTCCCTCAATTACAATTTTAACAGAATATCTCATTTCTAGGTACATGCACACTGAACTGAAGAGGGCCTTAAAAGAGAAAACTAGCTCTGGACAAGCTAGAATCACTATGCATCTCACTCCAAATATCTGAAAACGCAACACAATCATCAAATTAATTAGTGACTAGTGATAGAAACCCTTCTACACAGAAATCTGTAGGCACACACACTAAAAGTCATAACTCCTTTCTAGAATTCTACAATTCTCTTGTAATTCTACTAAAAGTCATAACTCCTTTCTAGAATTGAAAAAAGGCTGAATGGCTTATAAAATTTGGCATTCAAAAAATAGTCCTGGTATTGGAAACTATACCATCCTTCATCTAGCTCCTTTTTCTTGCTGGTATCCCAATATTTTTTATTTATTGTGTTTTTCTATCACAGAACAGCTCAATCTTTGTGAACAAAGCAAAATCAAGCAAGGGTCCTGGTTCGTCTCACCAGGGCTCCCACTTCAAGTGGGAGGAACTAAATAACATAGGAATGTTTTATCCCTTGGTTGTTCAGCATGATGTCCAAAACGGGAATTCTGGCTTGATGGGGGAGAGACAAACATGAGTTAGAACTCATGATTAAACCATGACTCTAGGCTGACTAGCCTCAGGAGAGCAATCAGGGAGAGAGACACAAAATGCAAGCCACAACAACCAAGTATTTAAAGACAAGTAAACCTGAGTTGCTGCAACATCCAAATGTAATCTAAGACAGACATTAGATCTTAAAAGAGCAGCTAGTGTTCAAATGGAACCTGGAACTCATTACACATTTTGAACAGAAGCGCCAAAGTATGACACAAATTTTGATTTAACGGATGTCCCCTATTCCCTGCAAGGTAGGGATTGATAGGCTTACCAATCCCAAGGTGAGTGTTTATGGAGGCATAGCGGGCTGTGCCAGTCAGGTTTTTGTTTTCCCGGTAGGGGATGTGTTGGTGAGTGCGGGCGTCTCGGTACTTCTTGGCCAGGCCGAAGTCAATGATGTACACTAGGTTGCCCTTCTTGCCAAGTCCCATAAGAAAGTTGTCTGGCTTCACATCTCGGTGGATAAAGTTCTTGGAATGGATGTACTCAATACGACTGATCTGGTAATGGATTAGGAACAAGTCTGTAAAATATAGCTGCTATCTGCATAGTAAGCTACAGTAAGATGCACACCATTATAAGGTCAGCTTGAGGAGTCATTTAACTTGTGATGTAGCTTGGAAGAGAAGTCAGAAGGCTTCAAGCAAGAAGTCAGAAGGCTTTTAAGTCCAGCCCCCTACACTTCAGCAGGAAGAACACAAAAGCCACAGGCTAGCAGCCAGGAGCAGGTTTCCCTGTGGCTGTTGCCACAGGCCAAAATGTGCAGAAGAGAGGTCCTTCAAGGACATGAAGCTGGAGTGTTTTACAAACATCCAGCTTCAGCAACTCATCTCAAGCTCCTGTCTCCATCTTCAGGGACTGCCCATTAGCCCATCTCTGTCTGTCTGTCTCAGACACACACACCCCACTCATAATTTTTGGTTAGTAGGATCTAAAAAGCACATCCAATCATGAAGGAGAAGACTTACTGCTGTACAGGTGATCTCCATCATCACTCAAATGCAAAAAAACCTTGGTATTAAAGCTCAAACTACTACAAGAACTGAATGAGAACTCACCATCTGATCTGCCAGGAGCAGAACAGTTTTGAGGCTGAACTTGCGGGAGCAGAAGTTGAATAGATCCTCCAGGCTTGGCCCTAGAAGTTCCATCACCATCACATTATAGTCACCCTCTGCTCCACACCACTTAATAGAAGGGATACCCACTAAAAAGGACCAAAAGAAAGTGAGGGAGAAAAGTGAGAAGCGTATGCTTTATGAGACAGATACTTAGCATCACACTCCAAATCCCACTAAACCTGATAGCAACCCCCCTTATTCTATGAACTTACCCCCTCCTTGCATCATCTTGTAAAATTTGCTTTCAATGTGGAGCTGCGGGTGCTTGGTTTTCACACATTCCAGCTTAATGGCTACTTCTTCCCCAGTGGCAATATTGGCACCTGCACAAGAAAACAGAGCAGCAGCAACAATAGATTGTTAGTAGATTTTTTTTACCCCATCCTTCCTCACAAGGAGTTCTTCCCCTTCCCTTTTTTGTCCTGAAAAGAGCCCTGCAATGTAGACTGGGTTCAGCAAGTGAGTGACTGGCCCAAGAACACCCAAAGAACTTCAAGGCTGAGTGGTGTTTTAAAGCCAGTCTCCCTGTTTTTGTCCAGTGATCTCACTATTAACTACACTGGATCTTCATTTCATATGACTTATTTACTTCTGTATGACTTGGTGAAGGGAAAGCACCTGCAAGGAAACAAATCCTACTACTGCATGATTTACTTCCAATATCCACCCTTTACCAGGTGAATTAATTTCAAGGAGCCAAACATTTTATAAATGGGGGATGAGGAAAAAGCTTCCTAGAGAATTCAAAGCAAATATTTTTTTGCTAAATCAGTACCTGAATATAGCCAAGAGGGAGTAAACACCTGTAACTAAGGGAAACTGCATGCAAAGCCACTGGTGATGAAAAGCATACCCACCTTATGAATTCTCTCCCTAACACAGAAGTGTAAACACAAAGCGATACATGTTTACTCCCCAAAAAACAAAATGCAGTGTTGGCCATTACAGGCCCATATGCACAGTCCTAAATCACAGATGGCACTGAAAACACAAAAACTCTGGTACAGCAAAGGTTTGAGTATGTGTTCACCCTCTGCAATAAATACATCACAGCAGTAGGAAATATTTAAAGTGCTGAAGCACCATGTATGTAATGAAGCCATTCCTAAAGGATGCATCAGAAGATGTAAGTAGCACTCTAAATACAAATGCGATGGGATCACCAGTTCGTCCATAATACTAAGGAAATGAGTATGAGTCGCTAAGAGATTAGCAAATAAACTATGGACTTGAACCACGAACGGCTTGGTTAGAATACCCATTTAGCCAAGGATTCATTAGTTGGCAGTAGCAAGTCAATGCTCTTCACTTTTATTAGACGTAAAGTTAAATGTGAACCACCTCACAAGGTAAAGCAGCCTAGCCATGTTTCACATGTTACAATTTAGAAGTCTGAAAGAAAACCAGCTATAGTACAGGGGTAGCTCCTGTGGCTTATGCACTTGATACCAAAATGCTGTGTGATGTGTGAATTCGCCTTCAGGAATGTGATATATAAATGCTGGTGTCACTTTTACTTTGTGTCAGGGATATGGATCAGAGTAGGCAGACATGGAGTCTATTAACTGATGAATAGACTTCAGTCACCATCTGATGTCTCCTGGAAATGCATGGTGCACACCGTCTTTTACCATCATTTCTATGACCCTGCAGCTTTACAAAAGCTATGAATCAGATTTCCGCTATCATCAAGCCATTCTGGTTGCATACTCCTGTTCAGGCATATCATGTCCTGGACCCAACACTGCTTCCAACACACCAGTCTGCAGACTGTTAAGTCAGCAGTGAAATCACTTACAAGACAACATCCAACCATCTTTTTTTTTTTTTTGGGGGGGGGGGAAGTCGCACAATCCCACCTGCCCCACCTATTCATGTATCATTCTGCTCAGCCTCCTAACAAAGTAGTTAATTATTCTTTGACAGTATAAACATTCCTTTTGGCTTATCGATTCAAAAACAAACACTCAGTGGACAAAAATATTCACAAGCAAATTAACATAAAAACTACTATACACACATTACCATTACATTTCTCATTCAATTAAATGTTGACACAGAAATGCTACATTTAGGTGCCATCAAAACCAGAAATTGTTTTAATGCCATACTCAATCACTAAAAAATTAGTTATTCTTATTTTTGTTAAGAGAGAAGGTACTATTTCTCACCACCAACAACCTTAATTAATGTTAATAAGTTCTGTATTATCCAGCAGCCAAAAATAACAAAAGGAAGACATGCTACAGGCTACAAAAATTATACTAGAGCCTATTTCTTAATCTCAGAGCTACTAATTTTGTCATTAATAGGTGGATTTCAGTTCTGGCCACCTCCATAAGACAGAAACTAATGAAAGAATTGCAGCTTACACTACAAGTCTTCACAGGAAGTGCTGTACCACTTCTAAAATGCAAGCACATATTTCTGTTTGATCATTCAAACAACCCTTGGTTTGTGAGTGTGCAGGATTTTCTCTTTCCTTTTCCCTTTACATTTACTTTTCAAAAAGTAGCATCTGAAGTCACAATTTCTTTACTGTGTTAATAATACTTCAGGAACTGCTAGTAAATCCTATTAGTGTCGCAAGTTTGTTCTGCTAGCTTGCTGGCAGTACTGGATGTTGTTGTTACGTGCTGTCAAGTCAGGTTTGACTTATGGTGAACTTATGAACACCCTTCAAAATGTCTTGTGTCCTCGACAGCCCAGTTCAGTTCTTGTATATTCAAGGCTGTGGCTTCTTTTATCCACCTCATATTTGGTCGTCCTTTTCTTCTGCCACTTTCAACATTCCCTGGCATGATTATCTTCTCCAATGAGTTGTCTTTACTTTGCAGAAGTTGCAAAACAGAACTTTCCCTGCTATTGATTTTAGCTTGTAGATTACTCATGTTCAAATATTTAACAGCTCAGCACCAGGCTTGAAATATCATTTTCAGGCATTTGAGACTAATGTGGGGAGCTTTCAGGATGCATGGAATATTCCCCCAAATACCCCTAAACACTACCTTTGCAAAAATTAGCAACAATTCCTCTGTTCTGATACATTTCTGGGGCCTGGGCTTTTCTTCTGAGTCCATCCAAGCAGGGATCATATAGAAAACACAACATCATGGCACCATATTTCCAGATGTAGTGCTGTAACATCACTGAAGACAAAGACTACATTTTGCCCTCCATCCAAACTGGTGTAAGGAGTGTCATCCCTGTTGCTATGGCAATTGCACCTCACAAGGCAGAGTGGAGTTCAGTTGCTTTGGCAACAGAGACGCTTTCCATCTTGCCAGGTTGTGCTATAGCAATTTCACTGCTGCAGGATACAGAATATCAGCCCATTCATTTCGGCAACAAGGTAATGTTTACTAGAGAAGGGAAAAGACAGGCAGCAGCAGAAGAGGCTTTGCTTTTTAGAGAGTAATTAAATAATTTTAGCTTAGCTATAGTGAAAGCATTTGATTACCAAGATTCACATTTAAGTTTTTTAAAGAGATGTGCCCATCATGGCTATGTCTTCTCAAAACAATTCTAAAGAAACTTATTTTTAAACTTCGTAGGGCAGCCTCTTCCATTTCTGTAGGGTGGCTCTATAAAGCCACAATCAAGATCCTGGACTTAGGGTTGCATTTCCAGCAAACATATTACATTTTTAGGAACCTGCTATTAAGACCTTATGGCTGTCAGGATCCTAATGGGAAAAATAAGATGCTGAAAGAAACTTTCAACGGCTAGGGAACTATTTCATTCTATGCAGCCTTCTCAACTCTCCTACCTACCATTTACACAAGTATAAATGAGTCTCATTTCTTTCCCTTCTGTTGTTTTACTATTGAAAATTAGTAGATATTACTTAGTTAGTTTGGCACACTGCCAAATAACCTGTTACACTATCCAACATTTGCAATTTATTTCTAATAAAAATTAAGTCAGGTTGGACTAAACAGAAACACATATATAATTTGATTTGTTTTGTTTTCTAGACAAACTTGTAAAATCTGGCTTACATAGTTGCAGAACTTTACTGTAGCAAACTTGTTCTGCTAAAGAGGAGCTTCTGAGACACACACCAAAGGAGTTATAAAGAGGATGCCATTTACCTCCGAGAGAGGCAACTGTAAGCCAAAACCCCTGAACAGCACAACTACGATCCCTCCCCATTATCTATGTTGGATAGTGATGAGGAGAGCTGCAGGCCAAAAACATTTGGAGGGCCACAGGCTTTCCGACCCTTCCTTATCCCTTGGACACAGTAAATTCTGCTTAGGCACCTTCTGAAATTCTACCTAGCATTGGCCCTAAATGTTGCTTGAATGACATGGAATGTCATCCTCAAGTCTACTACATGGGGCTACAAGTTTCCTAACAAGTTCTCTTCTTTTTTAAAAAAATCACTAGATAGTATAGGACACAAATACCTAGTTCACTATTTTTAGACACTCTTAAGCAGTCAAAGCGAGAGAATTTTTGCGGCACACCTAGAAGCCCAAATGATTTTGGGGACCCGCAATTACTTCAGATGGATGAGATGGCATTTTCAGTTGAAACAAATATTGTCCTATACCTATACTTATCTTTTTTGCTTCTTAATGGTATTTAAAAACAAATTTCAAAGCTGCTTACAAAAAGAATTAAAAAGCCAACAAGAAGATTACACAGAGATATATACTCACAATTATATCATGAAGTTGCCTCATAGCTGGGAAAAAGTCAAATGAAATTAATATGTTTTCAAGGAACACTTAAAACATGCCAACATCATTGCCTGATGTACCTCAGAGGAGAGCTCATTCCACAGGGCAGGGAAAGGTCATCTCCTTGTTGTCACCAGTGAAAACCTCCTAGGTATGGCATGGACAACAGGTCCTTCCAATGAAGATTGTAATTGCCTGGGATTTTGGTACCTTGGGGAATACTGGTCCTGAGTGGTATAGGGCTTTGTATTATAATATTACATGTGCCATAAATAAAGTTTGGTAGCAGACTGTCAGCTGGTGCAGATCCTTCAGCAGAGGCATAATGAATGCACAATAAGACAGTCCAGTCAGTAACCTTGTCACTGAGTTTTGTGCAATCTGCAGCTTCCAAACCCAGCACATTACAGTAATCCAATTTCAAAGTGATCCATCTGTGGATCATCGTAGCTAAGCTATCCCTGCCCAAGAAGTGGTGCAGCAAGTACAGTGGCCTCTTACAGTAGGTATTCCTAGACACAGTGATCACTTGAGCCTCCAACAGGAGTAGTGGTTCTAGAAGTACCATCAAACTGCAGACCTCTTGCTTCAAAGGAGTACAACTCCATCCAGTGCTGGAAAGTCCTCTAATTCCA